ATTAAACTGGAATCCCATTGCAGCAACAGTTACAATTATTTGCCAATTCCCTTCAACATACTATAGAATTGTTACATTGTATCTCTTCTTTCCAAGAACTATTTTCTTTGAGTCTAAACTCCATCTAGTGACAATAATGCAATATTTTCCCATTGCACTGTTATAAATTAACTTATTCTTACTACTGCTTATAAGATTAAAAAAAAAAAAAACCAACCAAAAGAGAAACTAGCTTAAGAACATTTGATTTTACCCAATTGACAGCTGGTTAGTTCCCCTATTAGTACAAATGTAGTCTAGTTTTGCTGTACAAACAGTTATGATTTTTTTATTGCACCTCTTAAGACTACATTTGCATGGACAGCTAGCGCAAATGAGAATGACAGCGACAGGAATCTGCTGATTCCCACACCTGTCTCTGCTGCTACAAGCCCTGGACACTTCAATGATCGGTCAGTGGTGGCAGCAGCTATTCATGGCTGTCCACCCAGCAAGCGATTATCTGCGATCGTGTGCTTCCAGCAGCGATTATTGCAGGTAATCACTTGCTGGGTGGACAGCCACAAATAGCTGTGGCCACACCAACCTCTCATTGAAGTGTGCAGGACTTGGAGGCCGCAGCTAGATGCTTACAGTTGGCTGAAACAGCTGTGGGAATCAGCAGACTTCTGGTGCTGTCATGCACACCGGCGCTAGTCACCCATACAAATGTAGCCCAAGTGTTCCCTTTTAGCATTTAGTGTGAAAAAGCCTCTACAGACCGCACTATATGCATGCATATTATCATATATAAATATGCACAGATTGTTCCAACTTTTAATTTAAATATATGCAGCAGCTAATTTATCTAAATAGACTATAGGACTTATACATGAAAAGTGAGCTTTTCTCATTCTTGTTGCCCATACGAGTCAGAATCCCTTTTTTGTTTTCAAACCTCCACTAAAGAAAAATGAGAATAGCACATGAAATCAACATTTTAAAAGCAGCAGTATATACAAGCAATTCTAGAAATAATTTTTAAAAGATAGTAAATTTTTTAGCATTATAGCAAGTAGGACTACCAAAATACTTGTGTTGAAAGACTTCTTTCCCAGCTTTATTTTCAACTTTTATAAAAACAATGTAACATCTCAGGCAGACAAAGAATGATTTAAAATAAATTAAAATGTTTGAGGTACGATGAGTAGCTGCACAAAATAAATTACCCTAATAACTACATACATGCAAAATATAAAACTGGTCAAGCTGCACATTTCCCTGGATTTAAAATAGGTACTTGTTTTCATTTCCATAATAAATGGAGATATATAAGGTGATGAGTTACAATTACATGCTGCCTCATCTCTGGGTCAAACCAAGTTGTTAGTGGTGAGGAATACAGACAAAGACCAAAGAGTACCAGTCCAAATCCTGTATAAAATTCTGCCCCCTGAGACCATCTTACATAATGTATGAAAATAAAAACCGCTTTCTGATTAACAGCCTGGACTATAGGTACTTTATGGGCAACTGCACTGTGAAGAAGTGCAAATTTCACAACCTTTGGGATCCTCATTGTCCAGAAGGCTGCGTGATAGCCTACATGGCATGACCAATACCTATGGGAACCAGCTGGAAGCCAGGGTCTGCAAAAGCATCCTTGACTTTTTATGGCTATTCTTTAAGTAGTCAGCAATTTTATGTGCGTGTGTGTGTTGGGGGGAGGAAGGGGGTGTATCAGATGGAGAATAAAAAAAATATTGGAACATCAATTTTAAATTAATAGCTCCCATGTAAGCAATAAACTTGTGGCAATGATAAGACTAATAAGGTAACATAAGTAGCATACATCTGGCAACCAATGTCTTCATCATCACATACCCAAGGTGAATAGTCCACCAAAGCAATACCACTTGAAACACTGCATAAGCATATGTGTAAATAGCCATACGCCCATGGTTGCTATGTGTATAGACATAGGTCTAACCATGTGACAATGCCAGTTACTGAGGAGCTGGACGGGAGACTGGCAAGGAACGGCTGGGGAATTCAGCCAGCTCTAGGACAAATTCATAGAACTAAAGATGTATGTACTGACATTTTATGTTGTCTGCTTCATATCACCCTATTAGTTTTATCTCTACTTCAAGATTACAACAAATACTTTGTCTTCTCAGACCAGCCTGCTTAAGGCTGGCCATGCACTATACAATTTTCTGTCCGAAATCTGCCCAATTTCCTTTAGATTTACCTTCAACTATGTAGTGCAAGGGCCCGCCTAATTGGATACAACTTAAAGTGTTGTTAGGTTTCACCTCATATTATATGGTTTTTGGTAAATCTAAACCAAAAGTCTCAAGAAAATTGTATAATGTATGGCCAGCCTTAGGTGTGAACCGAGGCTAAGCCGTTTCAGTCCAGGAGGGGAGTCTGACCTGAGTCTCATTACCAAAGTGCTTGGTGCCAATAAAACTACAATACTAACGTATGCTGGATACACACAGGACGTTCTGTTTTATTGAACCCAGTGGGCTTACAGAATGCCATGCTAACACATCCGCTGTGCTATTTTGTTCCGCCAGGACAAACTGATCAGCGCTGGCAGCGATTGACTGCCAGTGCTGATAGGATGCTGGTTTTCTGGCTGCTGTCAGATGAGGAGCTGTACACAGAGGACGAAAGTCGGCAAGCTTCTGGAGAACCGACTGTTATCAGCCCGTGTTTACCCAGCTTTTGAGTCAACTTTTTGTCAGTGATAAAGATCCATTTTGTCAAGTCATTTCCAAATACGAATACAATTCCTTTCATTTTTCAGACATAAATGCCTCAGCCCCCTTCAAAACAGAGCATAAAACAAACTACATAAGAAATTGCACCCCATTAAAGTGATTTTGTCAGTCCGTTTCTTGAATGGCTAGTCAAGCTGATGAAGGACTTCCTTAATCAAGAGATATTTCTTTAGGATCAACAAAACTTGATTGTGGGTAAACTTTTCCGCCATATCCATCCAGACTTGATTTTTGGATCTGGTCTTTCGTACTGGTTTTGTAACACATGGAGACAGCCAAACAGGATTTGTTAGAAGACCAGTTGGACAGAACAGTACAGTGGGGGCGATTTACTAAAGGCAAAGACTGTGCACTTTGCATGAGTTGAACTCATTTTCCCCAGAGCTTAATTCATACGGTGAAACTTCACTTTGCAAAAAAATACCCAATCAGGTGTAGGGAAAATAAAAAGAAGCAGCATTTTTGCTTACACATGATTGGATGATGGAAATAAGCAGAGCTTCACCATTCAATGAACTCTGCAGAAAATGAGTGCATAGTCAATTTGCCTTTAGTAATCAACCCCAGTTGCTAATAGAGTACTGTTTTTTTTTTTCGTTCAGCCAGGCAACTGAACAATAAAGATGAGCTGCTTTCCCTATTCATGCATTCAAGGTGGATGGGGAAATAATCTTCATCATGTCCTTGTATTCTGACAGCGGGTCTCTACCTGCAGTGCTGATCAAATGCTAATTTTCCAGTAGGACCATTAGACAGAAGCCAATCTAAGGGGCTTTAGTTGGACAGGGATACACACAGATCACAATTCAGCTGGTTCCTACTGAACCGGCCAAATTTTGACCCATGCATGATTAGTTTAAGAATTCATTACAGAAGAGCTTAAAGACTTAGTTCACAGTTACCAAAATACTGCCTATGCAGATAAGGAGAGCCTGTAGATGAAGACAAAATGTGCAGCTTTGACAATAATTGAATAACATCCTTCTATAGGTGAAGGCCATTTACGCACTTCCTAAAGTGTGGCTGAAAAACTCCCCAAGATGGCGTCCGTCCTGTCTTTTTGCCAAAACACTCCCAGCCATTACTGCTCACCCCCCACAATCACAGGAGCAGGCTCTCTCTGATTGAACACCCCTTTACATGCAGTTTGCCATCTCCTTCCATCACAACGAACTCAGAGCTACTGTAACAGGGAAAAGTGAGCACCCATGTGCAGGGTTTTAAATCAGTGAGCTTGCTCTTTTGACATTGGGAGCATTCTGTGGTTAAATGGTTAGCACTTCGGCAGTACTAGGGTGGTTGGTTCGAATCCTGGAGTTTGAGTGTTCTCCCTGTGCGGGTTTTCTCCAGGTACTCTGCTTTCCTCCTACACTCCAAAGACATGCTGGTAGGTGAATTGTCTCCTGTCTAAAGTAGCCTTAGTATGTGTATGTATGAATGTAAGTTGGGGACTTTAGATTGTATGCCTTTTGAGGGTTAGGGACTGATATGAATGTACAATATATATGTAAAGCACTGCATAAATTGACGACCCTATATAGTACCTGAAATAAATGGAATGGCTGGGAGTGTCTTAGCAACAAGGCATGATGGAAAATGGGAAGCCATCTTGGGAAGTTTCTCAGCCAAGCTTAAGGGAGGTATGCAAATAGGCTACACTTGTAACAAGGGCTTTCATCTTTAGTCACAGCTGCACAGTTTTACTACAATGGACCCTTACCCGCACTGACACTAATGAAAAGGCAGATTAACCCAATAAATACTTCCCCCTTGGAATATGAGAAAAAAGTGTGTCTTTTCAGATCCTTCTCTTTGCTGATTTAGCCCTGTGCAGATGGTACAGCAACCATGTTGTTTTCTACACAGCAAGTCCTACTCTGCCCTAAATCCCTCCTATGGTTTTTATGACCAGTATGAAATGTAAAGGCTGAATAGATTGTTAATCCTTCACCCATACAGTGAAATATTGTCAGCAAAATCTGTATTGCATCAGAGTCAAATCTAGACCACCTCCGACCATTAATGGAAGCAACAAATGCAGCATTACACCCGCTCCCGGCATGTCACCCTTTCCCTCTGACAACAATGGGAAGGGGAAATAAAGCTGCTGAGGGACTTTGGTTTTCAGTCAGTCATCAGCCAAAGTCAGAAATACAGGAGGAAGGAACATATACAACTTCTCTATAAAGTTGGCCTATCTCCAGCAGGTGACAAGAGCAGGCCCTGTCCTCATGGGATGCCATCTTTGCGCTGGCAGCACTGTGATGGGGGCACCCCCCAGTCGTAGATATAAGATAACCTCAGCTTGACCTCCTCTTTGCATAGTTTGCCATCTTTGGCCAGAGTTTGGTGCTTCTCCAACATATCTTCAATGCTCTGCTTGTGGGTGACAATATATTTATTATTGCAGCCTCTGGACTTGTATTCGGTGTCAAATCGGGTGTCGTGGACCCTCTTGATATCCACAGGAGCCAGCCAGGCCCCCAGGGACACGTCTTCGCTCTGCCAATGGGCCAAGTAATCTTTGTTGATGGTTAGATAGTGGACCAAGTCCCAGGAGAGCACGTACCCCCCGCCCAAAGCATAGGGCAGGTAATAGTCACACAGCACCCAGGCGCTCTCCTTCCACTTCCCAGCAGACTTGACTCTCCCGCGACCTGAGAAGAAGCCCCAGTAGAGGCGGTGTGGCTCTTTATTCCTCAGCTCCTCCAGCAAGACATCCAAGCGGGCGAAGGTGTCGTCATCTGACTTCAGCACGAACTTGTAGTCAACATGGCGGTCGAGCCACACGTACATGAGCAGCAATTTGGCCGTCAGGTTGTCGTAGGAATCCCTGAGCTCAGGCAGGAGCAGGAGGTCACCGTGACGGCGCTGCTCCATCTCCAAGGAAGCGGCTTCGTCCTCCCCCAACCCTGCTGTCCCAATGACAAAGCGGCACCACAGATCGCCACCCTCCTCCCCGCCCCCACGGGAGGCCGCTGAAAGCCAGGTGCTGCGGATGATGCTCCTCCGCTCGGTGTACTTGGGGCCACTGGTGATCAGCACGACGAGGAAAACGCTGGCGCTCTTCTCAGGTGGCGGCTCACCAAACCCCCGGGGGAGTGGCAGGCGGTGATTGGGGTGTTGCTGAGCTTGCTGATGGGGAAGCCCCCTAGGGCCCACAGGCTTCATGTTCTCTGAGGTACATTTGGCTAGGTACACCAGCACCATGCCAAAGAGGGCCAGCACCACCAGGCCCAGGGACGTCTTGTAGCGACACACCAGCCGCAGCACGTTCATGGCGGACACCGAATTCCTCTCAGGGCTTCAGCCAGTCATTCTCCCACCAACGGGGTCAGATTTCCCGCGCTGTTCGACGGGTCACGTGGTCAGCTCCGACACGAGCATCGGTTCCTCAGTATACTCCGCTCTGGGTTAGCGCTACGCTGTACAGGCTGCAGAGCTAGACACGTCCGACATCACCGGGAAACAGGCGTGACCTACCACCGAGAAGCATTTCCGGGTGGCGGCCCCGTTGCTTTATGGGAAATGTAGTCTTCCTGCTTGCAGGCGTCCTCCGCCCTCCGACCTCTGTAGAAGAATCAGGTTACCATGACAACAAAGACTCCCTTTCCTCTGCAGCCATTATATATCAGAAGTGCTAGTGCCCATTGTCCCTCCTGGGACCCTCCGAGACCTACGTCTCCTCATGAAATCCCTGTCCTTCTTACTTCCCCTGTTTATATGGCCTGCGTATGCTGTATACACCTCTACAAGAAGATGGCCAAGATCAAACGTACTATCTTCAAAGTTACAGACCTTTGTCCCTTACATGATGAAAAAAAGATATATTTTTTAATTGTACAAAATTAAAGATACACCCAAGCACAAAAAAAATCCTAAAAAAATGAGGCCCCCCCAATCCCACATATACACACATGCGAACGTAACTGCACGCTACGCATTAAAACACGGACTGCCATACACAAGTTACATATTAACGCACACGCTGGAGTGAGAGATTTCTAGCGCCAGGCCTCCTCCGTAAATCTAAACTGATGACTATTTCACGGGCGCATGCAAATTTAGGGTTTGATATGTTGGGTATCTATTTACTCGGTGCAACCTCATCTTTTATGTTACCATAATTGGGTAATTTATTGCATTTGTGTGCCTTTTAATTAACTATAGTGTATTTTTTACTACAATTTAGCATTTCCTAGACCTTTGAGGCAATATCGTGTGACATAAAAAATTGGAACTACCACTATTTTATTCTCTAAGGTAGGGGTCTCCAAACTTTCCAAACAAAGGGCCAATTAACGGTCTTTCAAACTTTAGGGGGGCCGGACTGCGGGAAGTCAGAACAGAAAATGTCCTGGCATTGTTGGGAGTAAACAACGCATTATCTTTGGAATTAGAGGAGGAATTGTACCCCATTGTTGGTGTCAGTGGAAAGAATAGTTTGTCATCATTAGTGTCAGTAGGAGGAATTGTAGCCCATGGTTGGTGTCAGTGGGAAGAATTGTCCCATCACTGGCATCAGTGGGTGGAATAGTGGTTTGTCATTTGGTGTCAGTGGGAGGAATAGTGCCCTGTAACGATTGTGCGCAATAGAGACATGGACGCTGTACGCGACAACCATCTTGTTAAGGCCTCAGCCATGTTAGGCTGGGCCTAGATGCCGAGTGGCCGCACATTTGCATTCATGTAACAAAAAACATATGTGCTGAGAGCGCGTGCCCTGCGCGCTCCCAGCACACATGTGCAGTACGCACGGAAATGTCCCGGCCCACTCTTTCGATCGGGACCTTTCTCGATCACGTGACGTCACGGCGGCCACATGACACTAAGCCCCGTCCCGCTCCGGGTCAATCCGGCGTGAAGGGGTTAAATAAAACACAAATAGAGGCCAGCTCCAGAGCTGTAAAACGCTAATTATTCTTGTGCAGGATGTCTGATTTTCAGCAACTATGAAAACCACTTTCCTTTGCCCTATAGTAAAACAATAACTCAGTCAGCCATCACACATGACCTGTTTGGCCATTAGGGCTCTAGGAATGCAGAGTGTGCCATAAAATGTCTCTATTCCACATGTCACAATTAATAAAATTCAACAGGAACTGGGCACATTAATATTAGGTATATCTTTGGATAGATCATTTCATGTCGAGCAAAACAAGGTCATACATGACTATGTTGGCACATAGGAGAGAGAAGAAAGCAGTCTCTTCCCTCCTGGGTGACAAAGGTACACTGTGTTTTGTATCCCTGGGTTTGAAATATAATTCTGACTTTTAATCTGCCAGTTGCTAGAATGCCACCTGCACATATTGGAGGTTATTATCATTAGCATGAAACATTGTAAGGCGACTTGGGCAAAAACCTGGTGATTGGTCAGTTGTTCTCAGGCGACACCCCTTTCATAGAAAAGGACTGACAGGCCTTGTGAAGGGAGCTCTCACTTAACATCAATCAAGAAACATCTAACGGATTTGAGAAAGCCAAGGCAACCCTTTTCACTCGGACAATTGGACTGATAAAACCAGGACTTTGCAAGTATTCTGCCTTCTTAACTCCTTTATTTTATTTCTCTGTTGCTTTATTGTTCTATTTATATCTTTGTAACATCTTTTGCTGTAAATATTTTAATTGCACCCTTTTGACCTTTTTAGTAATAAACCCTATTTTGAAAAGTGTTGAAACTGTTTCTAAAGTTTTTAATGCAAACTAAAGAATCCCTGTCTCTTGAAGAGTGCTACGGTATGTAATAATGCTCTGAATATCCCTGTTTGTGGTGACAGTGTGTTGCAGATGATTATGCTAATATCATAGTGTTATTGCTAGGATTTGTGAGTTTCCTCCTTCTCTGTAAAAAGGCAGTAGTGGCAGTGTGAAGGTTAATTGTGTAATTAACCTAACCCAGTAACAATCGCTCTCAGGCTGCTGGCACATAGATTGTGGTCCCGCGAGCTGGAAAATCTTTGTGCAGGGTGCAGCTGAGAGTGGCATTGTTACGCACGTGACAGCGCGGTTTTAGATTAGCTAGTCCTTCAGTCACGAGTTGGTGAGAAGGGCTGGGGGTCTGACGCCGCGCCCGTCACAGGGGATACCACATGCGGGAGACTTTTTCACAGCCAACCACATAGAGGGGCCCAAAATCCAAGAAACACCTTTGAGCTTTCAAAGAAATAAATTACACATCTATTTTCCTGACTATCTATCACACTTATGAAGGCCCTGGAAGCACCAGGACAATGGAAACACCAACAATATGATCACATTTTGGAAAGTAAACACCCCAACATATTTTCTATGAGGGATAATGAGTCTTTAGAACATGTGGGTTTTTTGCCAGAAGTTTTTTTTTTAATGTGCAAATAAACAGAAAACATATTTTTTTTACACAAAGTTGTCAATTTATAAGATATTTATAACAGACAGAACTGACATACCAAGAATTTCATCTCAAAATTAACGCAATTAACCCTTCACACTGCATCCACCGCATTTTTGTACGGAGAAGGAGGAAACACGCGTCAATCTTAGCAGTAACACTATGATGTTTAAATAAGCATCTGTATATAAACTGTCACTGCAGGCAGATGTAAGCAGAAGTTTAAAACACACAGTAGCGCTCTTCAGAGACAGGGATTCTTAGTTTGCATTAAAGAGCTTTAGAAACAGTTCAACATTTTTCAGAAGTAGGATTTATTACTAAAAAGGTCAAAATGGTACAATAAAAATATTTACAGAAAAAGATGTAGCATATATATATATATATATATATATATATATATATATATATATATATATATATATATAAATAAATACAGAGAGCAATAACACAGCAGAGAGATAACAGAAAGAAGTTTAGAGAGGTAGAATACTTGCCAGAGTACTTGATTTAAGCAGATTCAAGTGTCCTGAGCAAAAGGGTATTGTTTCTCCCAAAGTTGGTTCCTGATGTTAAAAGGGAGATCTCTTCATCTTACCTCTCTCAGGCCTGACAGCCTCTTTTCTAGTCCACCAGCAGGGGGTGTCTACTGAAGCCAAGGGCCAATTGCCTCATTTGGGGAGGAGGTTTAGGCAGAGACCCAGGCTAGTACCAAAAATCCCTCCAAAGTTGGTCAATCACCTTCCATAGGTACATGTAGCATCCTATCCACTGGTAGGATAATATGCAGAATTATATTCTGAACGCCCAGGCACCAAATATGACATATCTGCTTGAGACGGTTAAGGAGATATCGCTTTCTGCTCTCGAGTAGACGTAATCTAGGGATGTAAGGTATCAGGTGACTTGCATTAAACTGACCTGTCTGTATATTTGCTTTGTTTGATTGTACGTATTTCCTATAGAAAGATATGATATGAAATTGTATGAAAAAGTGGTTTCAAATGGAATGCAGAATACAGCCAGTGACAACTCTGTAGGTGGAATCCTTTGGATGAAGAAATCCTAAAGGTACTGTAGATGTATCCTTGCTCTTCAGCTGGTTTATGGTGGGGCCCAGGGATGTCACTGTGCAATGGCAACTAGCAGAATGAATGAGATACAGAATGGTACTCCCCAAAAGAATCTTTTTAAGTAAGTAAAGAGGGGGATAACAGTTGTGACGATCGTGACGTCAGACCCCTGCCCTTCTCACCAAACTCGTGACCGAAGGACTAGCCAATCTGAAACCGCGATGTCACGTGCGTAACATTGCCACGCCCAGCTGCACCCTGCACAATGATTTTGCCAACTAATGGACCACAAATCGATGTACTGGCAGCCTGAATGCGATTGTTTCTGAGTCAGGTTAATTACGCAATTAACCCTTCACACTGCCACCACCTCCTTTTTTTACAGAGAAAGAGGAAACTCGGCAATATCAGCAATAACACTATGATGGTTGAGATAATCATCTGTATAGCACTGTCACCGCAGACAGGTTATACAGAGGGTTAAACAAACACAGTAATGCTCTTTTAGAGGCAGGAATTCGTAAGTTGCATTACTGAGCTATAGAAACAGTTGAACACTTTCAGAAAGAAAGATTTATTACTAAAAGGTCAAAAGGGTGCAATAAAAATATTTACAGAGAAAAGATGTAACCAATATATATATAAATACACAGAGAACAAACAGCACAGCAAAGAGGTAACAGAAAGGAGGTTAAATGGTTAAAGTACTTGCCAATCAGCCTTAGGTTAAGCAGATCAAGTTTCAGAGCTAAAGGGCTCCCAAGTTGGTTCCGATGTTAAATGGGAGAATTTTTCAACTTCCACTCTCAGGCCTGACAGCCTATTTTGTT